AGGCCCCCGAGCCTACCCCCGGCGCCCCTCACCTCGGCCTTGGCCAGCTCCGGCCCTTGCACCGCCGGCTGCTGAGGCGGCGGCGGCTTCTGCTGCTCCTGGTGAGGCGGCGGCGGCGGCTCCCCCCGGTCCTGGCCATTTTCCGGCTCCGAGGCGGCGAAGGGCGCGGCGAGGAGCAGCAGGAGAAGCGGCGGCAGCAGGAGCCGCGCGGGGCCCGCCATTCCCGGCGCCGAGTCCTCTCCCGCTAACAGGAAGAAGCGCGGCGGCGGCAGCGAGAGCGAGAGCGAGAGCGGAGGCGGCGCTTCCCCGCCGCCATAGCCGCTTCCTTCTCCGCGACCCCTCAACCAAACAACGCCGAAGCTGTTCCCTCCGCCACGCCACCGAAGCCTCAGAGGCAGGGCCCGCCCCCTTGCTCCGCATCCGCCTCTCTGATTGGTGGCGCCGGAACCAGCACGTTCGAATCATCCCCGCTTTGCAAAGAGCGAGAGAGAGCTGCGCTCGAAGGGGGCGGGGCTGGGGAGAGCGAGAGAGCGAACCTACCTAACCCTACCTGGGTCACGTGGCGCTTTCCCACTCCGACCCGCCCCCTCCCTCTGGGGCCGCGCGGCTCCTCAAGAATCCTGGTAGTTTAAGTGGGTGGGAAATAAAGACCCAGGCGTGCAATGTAAATTGTGCACCTTATGATGCATGAGATCATGGCCACTGGGCCCATCACCTCCTGGCAAATAGAAGGGGAAGAAATGGAGGCAGTGAGAGATTTTACTTGGGCTCCATGATTACTGCAGATGGTGACAGCAGTCACAAAATTAAAAGACGCCTGCTTCTTGGGAGAAAGGCGATGGCAAACCTAGACAGCATCTTGAAAAGCAGAGACATCACCTTGCCAACAAAGGTCCGTATAGTTAAAGCCATGGTTTTCCCAGTAGTGATGTATGGAAGTGAGAGCTGGACCGTAAAGAAGGTTGATCGCCGAAGAATTGATGCTTTTGAATTATGGTGCTGGAGGAGATTCTTGAGAGTCCCATGGATTGCAAGAAGATTAAACCTATCCATTCTGAAGGAAATCAGCCCTGAGTGCTCACTGGAAGGACAGATCGTGAAGCTGAGGCTCCAATACTTTGGCCACCTCATGAGAAGAGAAGACTCCCTGGAAGAGACCCTGATGTTGGGAAAGATGGAGGGCACAAGGAGAAGGGGACAACAGAGAACGAGATGGTTGGGCAGTATTCTCAAAGCTACCAGCATGAGTCTGACCAAACTGCGAGAGGCAGTGGAAGACAGGAGTGCTTGGCGTGCTCTGGTTCATGGGGTCACGAAGAGTCGGACACGACTAAACGACTAAACAACAATAGGGGATGGTGGTGCGCACCGTGTAGCAGCACATCATCCCAGGTCACTGTTCCTTCTGTCCTGGGGATTGGGGGACTTAACCCAGCAAGCAAAATGCTTTCTTTGCAGAAAGACAGGCTTACAATACAGATAAGGAACAGCAGGGAAGACAAAGCACCATCTTCGGCTTAGGATAGTTTCTGAAAAGTTGCTCAAAGCAGCTCCCCGTCTCGTGGGGAAGCATTGACTCCGCCAGATGTTGTGGAGCTGCATCTCCAACATCATGCCATCCTTGCTTGGGGCTGGTGGGAGTTCTGGGATGCTTGTCAACATCTGCATTCAGTTGCCCTGATCTTGTGAAGGAGATCTGCATCTTGTATGGCAAATAAGAGAAACAGATATTTATGGCAAACTGTGGACATAAATGCACCTCTGCATAAGGACCCTGTCTATTAGCACCACACTCTTTTGCATGGAATGCACATTTTGAGGTGCTTTCAAATATGCATGCAAACAGATGCATGCTAACAGTTTATTTCTTCCTCTTGGGTTGGGGCATTGTTGAGGGCTTTTTGTTGGGAGAGGGTTACTGGTGGACTGGTCATGTGCGGATGCCTGATCATTGTCTTCCAAAGCAACTACTCTATTCCCAACTTAAAAATGGAAAGTGTAATGCTGGTGGTCAACAAAAGAGGTTTAAAGACTGTCTCAAGGCAAATCTAAAAAAATGTAGTATAAACACTGACAACTGGGAAACACTGGCCTGTGGGTGCTCCAGTTGGAGAACAGCCTTTACCAAAGGTGTCAAGGGCTTTGAAGACACTCAAACTCAGGACACAAGGGAGAAACGTGCTAAGAGGAAGGCACGCTTGGAAAATCCACACCGTGATCAATTCCCGCCCAGAAACCAATGTCCCCACTATGGAAGGAACGTGTGGATCCAGAATTGGCCTCCACAGTCACTTACTGACTCATTGTTAAAACTGTGTTTATGGAAGACAATCTTACTTGGCTATGAGTGATCGCCAAAGAGAAAGAGATCTGGAAATTGTTCAATTTGGTTGTGTACTTTTTGAAGTTTTGTTTTATTACATATAACTGCTTTTATGTTTGCAGTTATGTGTTTGTTTTTAATATGTTGTAAGCCACCTTGAGCAGTTTTAACTGTGGAAAGGCAGCATACAAATAAAATGATTGATTGATTCATAACTAGAACTGAATTATATTGCCAGTGAGACTTACCTCATGGTAAACACAGGTTGGTTGGGCTGCAAATTCTCCTTGGTTACTACTTGTAAGCAGCTACACAATCCATCTGCAAATGTTACTGTTTTTAAACATTGTGCTTAAATTGTGTTCTTGTTCTTTTAATTGACTTATTACTTAGTTGCTATTGCTTTATACTGCTTTATTTTTGTGTGTTTGTGTACAAGCCAACCAGAGAGCCCATGTTATGGGGTGACAGTAAATCCATCAGTAATACTCTACCTACTCTAAAGTAGCCCCACTGACATCACTGTCTGTTCATTATTGTGATGAAGTATGCAGTTCAATGAGTGCAGTCTCAGCAGCTCTGACATTCTGGTTATGGAGCGCAAAGTGCTATGTTGACATAAGCTTGGTTACTTCAGCAACTTCCCTGACAGTTTATTTTGGAGACACAGAGTCTGCGTGACACTGGATTGTTCACTTACTGCTGCAATACATTTCTGACCAGAAAGGTGGGTGGAGGATCCTTAATTTGTCGATGTCTCGTCATACATCTTTGCCTGCCAACCTTAGCCAAACAACTTGACAGAATCAGTAATTTTTTTCTGTTTACAAGACTGTTGATTTACACCCAGAAACACTGCCAGGGATAAATAGCCTTGAAGCAAAGCCAGGTGTCCTTTTAGGAACGCAGCCCAGTTCTTGTTACTGGAAGTGCCAAATGTAAATGAGGATTAAATAAAAACAAAGCTGGATTATTTTTAAAAAGTTATTGCATAGCAGCAACAACAACAAAACCCCCAACTGTTACTGTTGTTCTATTATGAAGATTACACCACCTTAGACATTTGAGTTTGAAAAATAAAGAACACTTGGAAGCCATCTTGTTTTACTGTGGTATTTACATAGAATTCAATAATTGGTTAACCTGAAAATCTTTTGGCTCAATCCCGCGGCAGAGTGTCCACATCATAACTGGGTGAGGAGCTCATTTGACTCAACTGCATGGTATCAGATGAGCCTATGAGATGGCATAGATTACAACCTGCTAATCACTAAAATATTTAATATAATAAAATAAATGGCTTAACCAAACTATACCACATGCATCAACTAAAAATTCCAGAGGAGCATTGGTCTTCAACTGGTCATTATCACCACTCTCCATTATTCTAGGAGAGGGAAAGGAAAGGAACAAAGTAGAGTTACTAGGTGTTTTGAGATGAGATTGGAGAACTTTGGGAATTTTTTTTGGACAAATTTAAGGTATCCACTTGAAATAATAAATACTGTATTTGAAATGGTTCTGGAATATGTGGAAAGGGCGTCAGTTATTCTAGAGGCCTCAAGGCTCTATCCCAGCATCATCATCAGGTGCTCAACCCTTTTAACAGCAAAATCCTTGGCATGTATACTCAGAAGTTCTGTTGAGTTCATTGGGAGTTACAACCTTAGGGCACAATCCTATGGACATTTATTCAAGCAGAAACAGAGAACCCATGGCCGCCTATGGTGGGTCAGGCTGATGGGAATGGTGGTTCAGCATCTGGAAGGCCACAAGTTCTCCAGTCTTGTATCCAGTGCTTTTTGTGTGGGACAAAAAGGGTACCTGCACCTTTCCCTCCCCCTGCCCCGCTCATGGCAGCCACTTTGTTCTGGCACCCAACACACTTTATATAGGGTGTACAGTGGTACCTCGGGTTAAGAACTGAATTCGTTCTGGAGGTATGTTCTTAACCTGAAACTGTTCTTAACCTGAAGCACCACTTTAGCTAATGGGGCCTCCTGCTGCTGCTGCACGATTTCTGTTCTCATCCTGAGGTAAAGTTCTTAACCTGAGGTACTATTTCTGGGTTAGCGGAGTCTGTAACCTGAAGCGGAGTATGTAACCCGAGGTACCACTGTACTGGCACCTCGTTTGTTTTTTAAATCAAAAAAGTACTTCCTGTACTGTAGATTAAGTATCTTTGTCCTGGGAGGCAGTTCCAAACACAGAATTTGCACACAAGACCGTAGTTCTCTCTTTCAACAAGATTCTCACGCTTCTGTCTACAAGTGCAGTATATTATTATTAATATTAATTAAATTTATAGAAATTCTGTGGGCCTAATAAAATAGCAAGAATGGCAAGGAGTGGGGTAGAAGCCCACACCCATCAGGACTGCTAGCTTCAAAAGGCAGGGCTTCAGTGGCCTGTGTAACACTTTGCTCTTCCTCATATGTAACAAACCAAGATTGAATTGTGCAATTATATGCAAATTTTTATATAAGTAATGCTGCTACATGTTGCAGCATCCAGCTTTTCTTAACAGCACTTTCTTTTCCCCACCAGAATCGGCTCACAGCCTTCTGGGTACTCTCTGTATATATGTGGGGTTTTTTTTATTAAAAAAATTACTTCATTAAGTACTTTTCTCTGCCATGTTATTCTATTGTGGTTGAAGAAAATAAGCAGGACAGTATTAATTTGCTTCTTTCAAAGCAGACCAGTGGTTCAGGTTTTTATTAAATATGTAAATATTACATTGGGTATTCTACATACAACAGATGGATAAAATAGTATAAAATATACACCATCTATTTTAAATAGTTTTATGAAAACGTAAGTCATTGCTGTACCAGACAAAATTTGATCCTAAGTAAAGTCTGTGAGAACCAAATGTCTTTCCCTAGCTTTCTTGGGCTTGTTACATTATGAAGAAAATCTTTAAGCCTTTGCTCCCATGCACTCATATGAAAATAAATAATAAAATAGACGATACTACAGTAGTACTGTATGTTCAACTACCCTGGTGTGAAAGACATTAACAGGGTTAATCAACATCACATCTTCCAACAGAGTGTGTGTGTGTGTGTGTGTGTGTGTGTGTGTGAGAGAGAGAGAGAGAGAGAGAGAGATGGGTAGAGTACATGTTGTTCAGATTAACAGTACTTAGGACAGCACTGATGGGACACCTGGATTTCCAAAAGCCTTTTTTCAAAACCATTCCCAGGGGTTTCCAGACCCTTGTGCAAGGAGACCCACTTCACTGTGAGCTGAAAAAGACAAACAGTATAGCTGGAGTGAGGTAGAGCACATGAACTGAGCTACCCAGAACCATATTTTGTTTGGTTGGAGGAAATACGTATGTGAGGCTATTGGGAAGGCTTATTTTATGAAATGTCAATGCAGTTATGTAGCTTCTCAAGCATTAACAGGTTGCTGAAAGCATAAGATATTCTCCCCCACCGGCTTCCTTTTTTTAAAAAAAATTCAGAATTTCTAATCCTTACATTCTTAGGAAATAACTGTGCATGGCCATGGGCCTGCAATGATCTTCCGGCGCTGTAACTTGCAAAGTTGCATTGGGGCAGGAAGCCTGACCCCGAAAACTGTTGCATCACATGGCTGTGGTCTCCTTTGTTTTGGATCGAAACCATGATGTGCAACTACATTTTCTATATTTGCATTGTTCTGAACACCCATGCGCTTATCATACAATGAAAGTCTCCATTTAAACATAGGTGTTTGTGAGAAACACGACAATGTTATTCTCTGTACTACTGGGAGCAGTTCTCGCATACAATTTTCTTATAAAGGAATGACAGCAACAGAGTTATTTAATTTTCCAGGTTGTGCCTTGCCTTCAAGCTTTATAGAATAAGAAGCTGCAGTTGAGATTTCTGCTTCTAAATATTCAAACTCTGATTTCAAAATGAAAAGTAGTATAATTTTCAAGTGTAGAAATAAGAACAGCCAATTTACCCATGCATGGTAATTGTTCCAAGTAACTATTAGCAATGTGGTTCAAAAGAGTCCATTCACATACGCAACGGCTATTAAAATGATTTTTCATCATTTCGTTATTCAAATGATGTGCATGAATATGTGAATCGGACTGAAGGTGCAGCTGTTTCTTTCAGTTCTGCATGCTGCACAAAACGAGTGCAGAAAAATAAATACATGTTCAATAGTACCGTCTTCACTCTTACTATGTAAATAATTCCTTCTCATTAAGGCCATATGTAACAAATATGGCTTTAGGTTTGAGCATTTGGTGGGGGAGATGGACACACGCAGAATCTCTTTGTTCACAGTATGATCTTAGCATACTCAGAAGTAAGTTCTGCTGTGTTCAATGGGCATACCTGAAAGTAAGCCACTTTGAACTCAATGATACTTCCTTTTGAGTATTCATAAACCAGTTGTTTCCATATACCACAGCAGTTCATTCTAAAAACTAAGTGGTAAAAGGATTTCAGACCGATCTGCGTCAATTCAGTTTTAGTCAAATCTTCTGCTTATAACAGCCTCTTGACACCTAGAAAAAGATTTCCATTCCCCCAAGTTAAGATGAATAGCCTAAAAAAGAAAGGGTACATAGGCTTTCCGACACTTTGGATACTGTTTGAAGTTGCTCAGGTAATATTCATGGCACAAAACGGCACTCACTGCCTGGCTGAAGAACACATAAGTCACAACAAGCCACCACGTTAAATTGTTAAACCCAAACATGACGGCCATCGACAGGTATATTAGAAGTTCGGCAAAGTAATGCGGACAGGACACAAACTCAAACCAGTCGCCGAAAGGAATACTGTGGTCCAAATTTAGTACCTTTCCTGAAATAGCAAAAAGTAAACAGGTGTTAGTCTTGTCTAGCTGAGGAATAATGTTGAAATACATCCCATTTTCACCAGCACTGATCTAATTTGTGGGTATTAGTGTTGTGGGGAAAGCAACAATACTTGCAAGATTATGGATGTGCAAGGTACTGTAACGTTTTTTACCTGGAGGAGCAAAAGCTAGGCTATAACAAACAGCAAAATATCCTACCTGATTTATTTTTTCTAAGATTAGCTAGAATCACATGACATCTATGCTGATGAACAGAGGCCCAAATGAACATCAGGACTCCAAGGACGTGGTACCAGCAGACAGTCAGTCGGTGATCTTTCCCTGAATTATGCAGAAAGAGGGTATGTTTAGATGCTAAAAGAATCAGAATCTATATTTCTTCTAGCAGCTAGCTCAGGCGGTTCTCCCAACTGCATGTCTCGTCTTGGACGACACTCTTAACGCCACGTTCAAGATACAGAGGAGTATCAAATTATTCTCTACAGTCCTTATTCTAAAGATCTGGCATACTGTCATGCTTATCGTTTCTATGATATCCCCAACTAACAAAAGAGGCAAAAATTTAAGTAGTGTTTGAGCTAGGAGGGCTGGCAAATCAACACATAAAGCAGGAATGGGGAACCTGTGGCCCTCCAGATATTTCCACCAGGTTCAGTCATCATGGCCAATGGTCAGACATGATGGAAGCTGTAGTCCAACTGGTTCCCCAACCCTGACTTAAAGGAACATTGCACAGAAGTGAAATAAATTCTTAAATTATGGCATATTTCTGTAGATCTGATAACTAATGGGGGAATTTTTCATAAAAGCAAATGAATTTAATAAAGCAACAACTTATAGACACTTACAGCAAATTTAATATGGTGTACTTCTGTGATTCATCAACAGGAACTAGTTTAAAATCTTAGCTCTGCAGTATGTACTAGGCCAGAACTCACACAGACAACAGAAATCTCTCTGTCCCTGCCTGCTCCCGATTCTTGTTTGATTTAATCCCCCCCCCCCAAAAGAGCTAAAGGCATTTTACCTTGGTCTACAATAAGGGAAACAAATATTTATAAAAACACTTATGGCATAAATTCGCACAAAACTACATGCAAGTATGTGCCACAGAGTTCTACTTCAGTAACTATTTCAATCCAGTCTGCAAAAGAGTTCTGCGTAAACTAAAAGCTCACATACTGAGTTGTGAACAGAAGCTGGCCCTAGTAAATGCATTCTTTATTATCCTTGTGATTATGTTTGATTATTCTGAGAGCCAGTGTGGTGTAGTGGTTAAGAGTGGTAGTCTCGTAATCTGGGGAACCGGGTTCGCGTCTCCGCTCCTCCACATGCAGCTGCTGGGTGACCTTGGGCCAGTCACACTTCTCTGAAGTCTCTCAGCCCCACTCACCTCACAGAGTGTTTGTTGTGGGGGAGGAAGGGAAAGGAGAATGTGAGCCGCTTTGAGACTCCTTAAAGGGAGTGAAAGGCGGGATATCAAATCCAAACTCCTCTTCTTCTTCTACCTGTGGCTTCCTACATTGAACAAGTCTCTGCATTGCTAGTATTTGAGAACTAAAAGAAATGGACACCTCAAATTTTATGGTGAAAAAATACTTATCTCTAATCCAGACCTATATTAAAAAAAACCTGAATAAAAATATTTTTGGGGCAGTTTTTCAATGGCAAGCTACATCCCACTGTATCTCAGAGTAAGATGTCGCCAAACCAGATCAAGGATGTGATGTTAGGAGTAGTCTGCTACTCTGGATTGGTTTTCGTTTGAAAAAAAGGGGCTTTTTAAAATCCTTATAAGTTGATAGCTTTCTATACTCTTACGTTCCATTTTGCTGTGTGTTTACCAGGCTTCAGCCTAATCTACTCCCATGGAAAACAAAGAAGCATTATATAAGATGCTGCTGCTAAATAAGATACTTACCTTCCCGGACATTGGTTGGCACTTGACATAACAAAGTTAAGCCCAGCAGAACATAGTAACAGAGTCCAAAGCAGTACTGTACAATATGGATGACACCTCCTGAGAACACACTGATGTGAAGACACTCTTTTAGCCGTCTACAGCTGTTTAACCAGACAAAGAGGCAAACCAGGAAAACAGACAAGGATTCATCACCTAGAAATCCAACACAGGTTATGGTGTAAAACAACTGCTCTTTTCACCAGACATGTCAGATTCTCATTAAAAGGCAGACGAACAGCAGGATCAAAAGTGAAAGTAAATGCTTGCAAAAACAAGAACTCAGACACATTGCATTATGTTTGCATGCAGAATTCCAAGAACTTCGCAATATTGGTAGAACCATTATTGCATCGGGCACTTTCAAAACTGTTCATTTACTTTATGAATAATCTGAGTCATCTCATCAGGGCAGCAAATAATGTATTTCATCATAATTGCAAAACATCCACCTACTATGAGATTCAAGGCTGCTCATCTGAATGATCTAAGTGGTGAATTCCTTGTGTGTGAAAAGCTATTGTGTCTGATACAAGGTAGTAGTTTGGATTTGATATCCTGCTTTATCACTACCCTAAGGAGTCTCAATGCAACTGTCTCAGTGGTGCAACTGTGAATATATGTTAAAAAATTGCCTTCTTAAACGAGCAATGCAAACAAATAGAGGAAAACAACAGAATGGGAAGAACCAGAGATCTGTTCAAGAAAATTGGAGATATGAAAGGAACATTTTGTACAAAAATTACCATAATAAAGGACAAAAGTGGTAAGGACCTAACAGAAGCAGAAGACATCAAGAAGAGGTGGCAAGAATACACAGAGGAATTATACCAGAAAGATATGGATGTCTCGTACACCCCAGGTAGTGTGGTTGCTGACCTTGAGCCAGACATCCTGGAGAGTGAAGTCAAATGGGCCTTAGAAAGCACTGCAAATAACAAGGCCAGTGGAAGTGATGGTATTCCAGCTGAACTATTTAAAATTTTAAAAGATGATGCTGTTAAGGTGCTACACTCAATATGCCAGCAAATTTGGAAAACTCAGCAGTGGCCAGAAGATTGGAGAAGATCAGTCTACATCCCAGTCCCAAAGAAGGGCAGTGCCAAAGAATGCTCCAACTACCGCACAATTGCACTCATTTCACACGCTAGCAAGGTTATGCTTAAAATTCTACAAGGAAGGCTCAAGCAGTATGTGGATCGAGAACTCCCAGAAGTGCAAGCTGGATTTAGAAGAGGCAGAGGAACCAGAGACCAAAGAGAGTTCCAGAAAGACATCTACTTCTGCTTCATTGACTATGCAAAAGCCTTTGACTGTGTCGACCACAGCAAACTATGGCAAGTTCTTAAAGAAATGGGAGTGCCTGATCACCTCATCTGTCTCCTGAGAAATCTCTATGTGGGACAAGAAGCTACAGTTAGAACTGGATATGGAACAACTGATTGGTTCAAAATTGGGAAAGGAGTACGACAAGGCTGTATTTTGTCTCCCTGCTTATTTAATTTATATGCAGAATTCATCATGCGAAAGGCTGGGCTGGATGAATCCCAAGCTGGAATTAAGATTGCCGGAAGAAATATCAACCACCTCAGATATGCAGATGACACAACCTTGATGGCAGAAAGTGAGGAGGAATTAAAGAACCTTTTAATGAGGGTGAAAGAGGAGAGCGCAAAATATGGTCTGAAGCTCAGTATCAAAAAAACCAAGATCATGGCCACTGGTCCCATCACCTCCTGGCAAATAGAAGGGGAAGAAATGGAGGCAGTGAGAGATTTTACTTTCTTGGGCTCCATGATCACTGCAGATGGTGACAGCAGCCACGAAATTAAAAGGCGCCTGCTTCTTGGGAGAAGGGCAATGACAGGCCTAGACAGCATCTTGAGAAGTAGAGACATCACCTTGCCAACAAAGGTCCGTATAGTTAAAGCCATGGTTTTCCCAGTAGTGATGTATGGAAGTGAGAGCTGGACCATAAAGAAGGCTGATCGCCGAAGAATTGATGCTTTTGAATTATGGTGCTGGAGGAGACTCTTGAGAGTCCCAGGGACTGCAAGAAGATCAAACGCATCCATTCTGAAGGAAATCAGCCCTGAGTGCTCACTGGGAGGACAGATCGTGAAGCTGAGGCTCCAGTACTTTGGCCACCTCATGAGAAGAGAAGACTCCCTGGAGAAGACACTGATGCTGGGAAAGATGGAGGGCACAAGGAGAAGGGGGCGACAGAGGACGAGATGGTTGGATAGTGTTTTCGAGGTTACCAGCATGAGTTTGACTAAACTGCGGGAAGTAGTGGAGGACAGAGGTGCCTGGCGTGCTCTGGTCCATGGTGTCACGAAGAGTCGGACATGACTAAACGACTAAACAACAACAACAAGGAGTCTCAAAGCTGCTAACAATCTCCTTTCCCTTCCTCCCCCACAACAAACACTCTGTGAGGTGAGTGAGGCTGAGAGACTTCAGAGAAGTGTGATTAGCCCAAGGTCACCCAGCAGCTGCATGTGGAGGAGTGGGGAAGCGAACCCGGTTCACCAGATTATGACTCCACCACTCTTAACCACTACACCATGCTGGCTCTCAGGGTCCCACCCTAGCCATTTCTCAGACATGCAAGGAGTTTCTCTTTTACATGAAGGAGGATTCAAACAAAAATAATGCTCCACCTGCATTCTCAAGTGGTACACTTCCAGGAGAACCCAAACCTTGAAATGTGTGCTCAAGGGAAACTTGCATCTATAAATGATAGGGGGAAGTAAAGGAAGTCGTTCTACTGCCAGTGGTGCAACTGTGAATATATGTTAAAAAATTGTAACATGCATTGATATACACGGGACGTGGATGGCATTGTGCGTTTAAACCACAGAGCCTAGGACTTGCCGATCAGAAGGTCTGCGGTTCGAATCCCCGCGACGGGGTGAGCTCCCATTGCTCGGGCCCTGCTCCTGTCAACCTAGCAGTCCGAAAGCACGTCAAAGTGCAAGTAGATAAATAGGTACCACTCTGGCGGGAAGGTAAACGGCATTTCTGTGTGCTGCTCTGGTTCGCCAGAAGCGGCTTAGTCATGCTAGCCACATGACCCGGAAGCTGTACACCGGCTCCCTTGGCCAATAAAGCGAGATGAGCGCCGCAACCCCAGAGTTGGCCATGAATGGGCCTAATGGTTCAGGGGTCCCTTTACCTTTTACTGATATACATGTTATGGGGAAATAGTTTTGAGTTTTAAGACACTGTTTAAGTGGAGCAGATAGAGCCCTGAAGAAAGGATCCCACAAGGAGAACACAGGGGGTTTATTTTTCCATGACAAGCAACAATTCTCGGGAGGTTTTGAAACAGAAACAGTTTTGGCCGCCCTATATGATGACCTCTGTTGGGAGGGAGCCTGGGGAACCGTGACCCTGTTAATTCTCCTCAACCTCTAGGTGGCTTTCGATACCACTGACTATGAAGCGACTGCCTCTCCCCATATGAACTGATCTGGACCCTGCAGTCATCATCTGAGGCCCTTCTTCATGTGACACCCCCCTCCACGAAGGTCTGGAGGGTGGCAATGCGAGAATGGGCCTGTTCTGCAATGGCTCCCCTGCTTGTGGAATGTTCTCCCCAGGGAAGCTCGTCAGCACCTTCATTTCATATCTTTAGGAACCAGCCAAAAATGTTTCTCTATAACCAGGCCTTTGGCTGATTAAATATTCTATGGCCTTTGAAATATATGTGTGTGTGTGTGTGCTACTGCTTTGGTTTTTTTTAATTTTAATGTAGTTTGTGTTCTCATTTTGTCTTTTTAGGTTGTGAACCGCCCTGTGATCTTTGGATACAGTGGTACCTCGGGTTACAGACGCTTCAGGTTACAGATTCCGCTAACCCAGAAATAGTACCTCAGGTTAAGAACTTTGCTTCAGGATGAGAACAGAAATCGCGTGGCATGGCAGCAACGGGAGGCCCCATTAGCTAAAGTGGTGTCTCAGGTTAAGAACAGCTTCAGGTTAAGAATGGACCTCCAGAACGAATTAAGTTCTTAACCCAAGGTACCACTGTATACAAATTTAATAAATAAATAAAATTCTCAGGAGACGACACACCTCCATCTTGGTCCTGCGATACTCCGTCAAGAATGCTGAGGAAGTCCTGAAGCCAAATAGGAAAGGGCCTTGACAGAAGGTGGCTTTGGAGAAGCAACAGCAGCACGGAACCGTTCCAGATCACCGACACAACATAGAAGTGGTAGAACCACCTGTAGAAGGAAGCACTGACAGTTTACTGTTTTATTCCCTACAACCACATTCCCTATATTCTAACCTTCTGTTGCCTTTCCTTCATTTGCCATGGCCGACTCACAAAAATATTTCCCCCAACACTCACTCCCTTCCTTCCTCCCTTCACTGACCTGCCAAGGTAATATGTTCATTACCATCTAAAGTTGCAACTTTCAAAACACCTTTTTTGTCATGTTTTTTGGCTTTGCCCATTTACCAATAGGAAGCCACCCACCCTAGAATTAGTGTCTTAGTTCATGGCTTAATTTCAGAGAGAATGAGATTGGCAAGACCATATACTAAATTGAACGACTATTTCTAGAACAACAGCAGATTCAAAACATAATTGTAAGTTCGCCCACATTGCTTGGAATGATGTCTTGGGTATTTCCCCCCCCCCCATTTATTTTGCCTGAAGAAGAAATTACAATTCCGATTTTGTTCAGCTTTTCTAAAACATACTGCATGGGCTGCGACTGTATGCATCTTACTCAGGAACAGGGTGGATAAAAATAAATGATTTCAAAACTATTATTATTATTATTAAAATGGATTTTTTTAAAATTTAAATTGGATATTTAAAATAAAATGCTTTTGGAGGAAAAATCTTTCTAAAGATATTTTTCTATTTAAGTTACATTATAGTCCAAAAGCTATTCATCAGGAAATAAGGATTTGGTTAAAGTTTTTTCATGCGTGCTAAAACTCAGACTAAGGTATTTTTTTAAAAAAATGTTTAAGCACATCAGTTAACAAACATGGATGCATATGCTATGTTATTGTTTTAGTTAAATAAATTGTTTAAATTGTTATTAAGTAAATGATTACTTTTCTCCTTCCAATAAAGTACAGCAGAAAAGTTGTCCAAATATAAACAGTTAACTCATTAAACCCCACCATCATTTAATAATTATCTGTCTATGTATCTGTAATAGTATAACCAAATCAGAAATTTTTGATATAACTGTAAAAACTACTCTGAAAATTTATTATTCCAAAAACGAAACCTTCATCTGGTTGTAAATATTAAGATTATACCGGGAAAAAATGAGTCTTTTGGTTAAAAAAAGAGATTTAAATCAAGACTTACTAACTAGTGCTTTATTTTATATATATTTTTTCCAAAATTTTTAAATTGATTTTCCAAAATTTTTAAACAAACAAACATACATCTTAACTGTACTTAATCCAATCTTAGTAACATTGTTAAGTGACTTCCTCACTGACTATTGGTTTAAATCGATTTGATGTAAATCAAATCCACCCTGCTCCGGCATTGCAAGGGGACCGGACCAGATGGCCCTCGGGTTCCCTTTCCAGCTCTACAATGCCATGAGTCTCACCAGGCACTCTGCACATGCCCAGGAACACTGCATTCATAGGGCCGCTTCGGTCACCTCTTGGGCACGTCGAAGACCTGCAGCTGGGGCGGGCGCGGCTGGCAGCCGCTCTTGGTCTTGCCGTAGCGGAGGAGATCCTGGAAGACCGCCGCCAGGCTGAGCGAGGGGCGCCCGGGAGGTGTCTTCAGCCGAGGCAGCCGCAGAGCCAGCAGCGCCGCGAGGAAACTGGCGGCCAGAACCAGCCACAGCTCAGCCATCGCTCCAGCAGCTGCGCAGCCGCAAAAGCCAACCAGCCCTCTTATTGTTTTAAAAAACCCCTCACACTTCCTTATTGGTTCCTTCCCGTCACATGGTGCGAGTTTTTGTTTTTTTTTAAAGGACGGACACCAATCAGCTATTGCCCCTCCGCCAGCCAATAGACATGAGGGGTGTTCGTCACCTCAAAGACTACACAACTGCCAAATCATCCATTGGGCCCGCCTCTAAAAGCTTTACATTCGCTATTTGTTTCGCCATTCGGTTTGTAATTGGCGTTTCTGTTTGTCACTTACAGCGCGTAAGGTTCCGGCCGCTCAGCTCATAGAGATAAGTAAAAGTGAAGAGCGACGTAAGCTGTTTCCCGTATTTTGAGGGTTTGTGCGCTCAGTGAGAGCAGGATGTTCTGTCATCACTACTGTCTGCTTATTTTTTACAAAATTTCAACCCGAGGAAGGAAAAAACAACCAACAACTTACAAAGAGAGCCGGGAAGGTGCCCTCTATCCTTATTTTATTTATTTAACCAGACCTCACCTCTTACCTGGTTTACAAGAAGTATCAACATTATAAATAAAATCAACGTTTAAAATCAGCACCAACTAACAAGAGATTGAAATGTGTTGGAGTTTCTGGATAGCCGCCCAGAGTAGCTGGGAAATCCCAGCCAGATGGGCGGGTATAAATATATTATTATTATTATTATTATTATTATTATTATTATTATTAGGCTTGCCCAGAGGAAAACGATTTCAGCAGCTGCCAGAAAGAATACAGGGAAGGCACCTGCTGGTGTTAATAGGCAGGGAGTTCGAAAGTGTAGGTGGTGCCACGCTAAAGCAAACAAACAAAAACAAACGTTTTTTTTTAAAATTGTGTGCCAGTTCCACAGACTGAAGTGGTCAAGCAGACTATTCTCCAATCCTACTTTCTGTACTCTGCCCTATAGGTATGACCTATGGGGTAAGGCACGTGATCCCACATGTTAAATGGATTCCAAGCCACTAAAAGATTTTATGTACCAATAGTAACCTTGAACCTGGCCCCATAACAAATTGACAGCCAGTGGCAGATCTCTTGAGTAAAGGTGTCCTATGCTGAATGGTCTCATGTCGAGTTGCAGCTCGGCATCCAGAGAAAAATCAGTCTCACACCAAGATAGGTTCCGAATTATGGCTGCTCCTAGGGCTAATGCAGCACCGCTTTTATTGTGTGAAATAAGAAAGATACAAAAATACAAGCCAAGCAATTTGTTCTAGCAAGCAGATAAGAACCTTCGCACTAGACTATGTGAGCATCAGGCCATGCCACGTTAGCCAATCATATAGGACAGCACGAGCTGTTCACGCGCTGTTCATGCTCCAAGGATGCTTCTAGCTATGAAATCACCCTGTAACAATAAGAACTTTGCTCATGCTCTCATGTACAAGCAATCATTTTCCCACATATCCCCTTTTCTTGTTTATATTATTAGAGGAAAAGAGGGACCATTAGTCCAAATCGTACACTTCATTGCCTAAGCGTCTACACCTTGCAACATAAATTCCTCTTGTAACCCCTGTGGTGGGCCGTGGTCGGTACCACCATGCAGTGCATTGGGAAATCAAAGAGGGTATGCATTGAATACAACAACACACCATAATGAAGCCAGCAATACATGCAATTACAATCAATAATATTTTTCTTAACCATACTCCATTAGGTAACCAAGAAGACAACCACTCCCATGGATCAAAACCTTCAGGTGGATTCAAAGGATTATGGGCTATCATTTGTTCCATATGATCAATAGTAGCAGAGATATTGGTCGATTGATCAGTTATATACATACAACAATGAGAATGAATTAAGGCATAAATTCCACCTTTAGAAACAAGGATCACATCTAAAGCATAATGATGTTGAAGAACTACATTACTTATTTCTGATATTTCTTTGTTAATCATTTTTAAAGCCAAAATGGTGGAATTAAACAAATTTTCTGTCCAGTTTGCCAATTTATGCAAATCACGGTAATTCATGGCTGCACCTAAAGAAGGCAGAAGTGGTAACATTAAAAAAAAACAAGAAGATCCATTAATGTACTCACAGGTCGAATTACAATATAGATAATGACCTAAAAACTTATACGATTGTCCTGCATATTATTGCTAATCTTATATGAAGCATTTACTGGAATACTAGAATACCACCAACAAAAAAAAGCTCAAAACTTTTCAAAGCTTTTCAAAATCATTTTTCTCAGCAGCCAAAAGGCATTAGCTAGGCATATGCTGCTTTGCTGTAACTAAAAAAAATTGCAACAAGGTAGAGAACAGAGTCCATTGTCTTCCAGGCCTTGCTGAAGAACCATATTGCAACTTGCTTTCTGTCCGGGAACCATGCCAAAGCACAAAAATGAAACAACTGGAACACACTGAAATCCCTCACCCCCTCCCTTGCCAAGAGTCCACAATAGTTCCAAGACAGCCCTCTGTACATGCTCAGGGGAAAACATCATAGGGCAGGACTCCTGAGGGAGGAGAAAAAAAAAAATATGGGGGGGTAAAATCCAAGCGATGCTGGTCCGGCGAGGGCATCCTTCAAAGCCAGGTTCATTTCCCAGACAAGAGGCGGCAAAACTGTAACGATAAGTGGTAGAAACGGTGGCTTCCCAGGGGGAAGGGGGGCCAACGCGATAGGGTTGAAGATGGCCTTTCAACGTGCCAGGAAACACTGGAACAGCTGTGGAAGGTGACTTTATCCAGGGCACATCAATATGGCGATGTCTCCAACTGCAATGCGGGTTGAGGTCAGGTGAGAGGTCATCACCGGCAAACAGCGTAAAATACGGTTTCAAGGTGCTGGTGTCTCCTTGGGCGAAGACGAGGCAACAGAAGAGCGCCAAGGTCGAACGCAGCGGGCTGGAATCCATGTGGGAACTCCGTCTACGTCAATTGCCGCAAATCCGCGACCCCAGGAAATCAAGGAAGTTGGACCCTTCCACTGTGGATCTGGAAGCAACCTGTATGACACTAAAGGACGCTGCAATATTTCTTCCTTCCAGAAATGAAGTTCAGCAGGCGTAAAATTCCTGTTGTCAAATAACCAGGGTGACCAATATGTGATCTAAGATGTGCTTCAGAAAATTGACAAGTCCTGGCCTGTATCAAAGACGGGGCACTTTGTGCTGGAGTGACATTGCTGTGCGGTAGATCTGCACTGCGCACGAAAATAGTCCACTTTGCTACATCCAAAGCAGGTTTTATCCTTTGCAGGATTCTGGGGCACGGTGGAGGACAAAGCCGTGGCTAGCAGGCGAGCTTTGTGCATCTCAGTGCCCACTGATTGGCAGGCTTTAAGCATATCTGCAATGGCTATATTTGGTGTTGTCATCAAAGGGCGCAGCGCTTGCTTACAGTCCTCATTATCATACGCAAGCTGGCGGACAATCAGTTCTTGGGCTGCTACGTCCTGAACTTGCCGCTTAAGAGTGTTATCCAAGCGATCGACAAATTGTCCATAGGGCTTTGTAGGACCCTGTCTGATGCTGCCACCGCGCTCATTCTTGTCATCAGGAACAGAGGACAAAGCTTCTTGGGCGGCAGCAGTGGTAGCTGTCCAATACATGGGATCAAGGGCCAACTGTTGGGCAATAGTAAGAAAATTGCCTTCGCCAGTTAAGCCATTAGGAACATCAGTTTGGTTCAGCATAACAGGGGCTGGGGGTGCAGGGCCATTGTCCTTGACAGAAGAAGACAGTTCCTTTATGAATCTCAAATCAAACTGGTCGTGCCGGGCTGGGCCTTCCCCTGGCGCGGCAGGAGCAATCACAGGGAAGAGATTAGGAGTTGTACAATCAAAAGCTAGCAATGGAGCAGCGGCGCAAAGAGATTCTTGGAGAGGAGTAGTAGAAGCGGTGCCAGAGGCCTTGGGCGCAGGAGGTGGAAGAACGGGGGGTGCTGCAGAATTTGAAGAATGCAGGGGAGTGACGGGAGAAGCCGGAGGGAGAATGTCCGGCGGTTTAGGAGGTATGTTTGAGGCAGGCAAAGCGGGAGCTGGGAGGGCGGGCGAAGAAGCTGTTGCCGCAGCCAGAAGAATGTTTGAAGGAGTTAAGCACGACATAGCTTTGTAGACGTTACTCCAGGCGTGCAAAACCTTGACATCAATCTGAGGATGATTTTGAAAGAAGTGTCCAATTTTTTTCCAATCGTCTAACTCCCAATTTCCGTCCTGGGGGAACCACGGGCAGTGAGTGTCCAGGGCTTTTATAAGGGACTTAAGGTCAGCTTTCCGAACAGCAAGGTTGTTACTGGCCAAAAGGAATTTAAGGTCTTTAAAAAATTTTTTCTGTGGTGCAGAGAGAGATTTTCCCATGATTGCAAGAGTTGCAAAAAGAGCAGGGAGCACTTACCGGAGGGATCCGTAGGAGGATGAGAGAGAGGCGCCTTTTGCCCTGTCCGGGCGGAGATAAGTGCTGATAAGTCCGTAACGTAGTCCAGAATCACATTCACACGGGAGCTCTCACCGGGGATCCACTACGTGGATGAACGACGCGTCTGCAGCCCTTGCGGGGCGAGGTGAGAGCTGAACGTTGTACACACGGGAGCACTCACCAGGGATCCACTACGTGGATGAACGACGTGTTGGTGAGTGCTGAATAATGAAAAACAGGCAGTCACACGGGAGCACTCACCAGGGATCCACTACGTGGATGAACGACGTGTTGGTGAGTGCTGAATCCGAAGGCAATCACACGGGAGCACTCACCAGGGATCCACTACGTGGATGAACGACGTGTTGGTGAGTGCTGAATAAAACAACGTGAAGTCCGAAGGCAGTCACACGGGGCACCAATTGTCGAGTTGCAGCTCGGCATCCAGAGAAAAATCAGTCTCACACCAAGATAGGTTCCGAATTATGGCTGCTCCTAGGGCTAATGCAGCACCGCTTTTATTGTGTGAAATAAGAAAGATACAAAAATACAAGCCAAGCAATTTGTTCTAGCAAGCAGATAAGAACCTTCGCACTAGACTATGTGAGCATCAGGCCATGCCACGT